AAACTCGTCATTCTGTAAATTTTGATGATTAAATGAAAGAATTACCATTCACTTTAAATAAAATAAAAATAGTAAAATATATATATAAAGAGGAGAAATTGTAAATAAAGTCACATAACTTTTTAAAAAGTAAAAGTAAATTTCACTTAACATAATTATATACATGTTAACACATAAAAAGAAAGAATTTAGAAAAAAAAAAACAATCTCAGCCAGGCTCACCCATTCACCAAATCCCTCCTATCCCAATCTTCTTTACATGCACCTAAACACTACCTCCAAGCTAAACAAAGACTTCTATTATGAAAATATAGTCACTTAAATGCGATTTTCATTGTAACTTTACAATTAGAAGCAGACGATTATATAACTAGGTAATCAACGCGTCTCGTTAATATGTATGCTATCCACGTAAGAGATTATGCCCCCGTTTTTAATAGCTTTTGATAAAAGTTGATGAAAGGAATAGTTGAAAAATTGATAAAAATTATGAATTTCATAAAATACGTGGATAAAAATAAATTAGAAAAAAAAAAGAATTTTTGAAAAAAGGGGCCAAACAACAAATAAAATGAAATTCAAACTTGCGTAATTTGGAATTGAAAAAGGTTGAATAACTAAATTAAAACTTTACTCAAAGTTGGGTGACCTCTAATGTTATTTACCCTCCATCTTTGCCAAATTTGGCTCCAATTTGTAATACCCAAACTACCCCTACCGTCAAAAACAGGAAAGCAACCTTCCTTCCATAGGCTCTCTCTCTCTGACATTGTCTCTCGTTAATGGATGAAGATACTCAGTCACTTGCCCACTCTCACTCTCCCTCTCCCTCCAATAATGCTAGCACTCGCGTGACCTCCGCTCCCGGTCACGTGCCAGATAGCGGCGACGCAGCTCGGGCGGAGGCGGTTTTATCCGGCGAATCGAGCAATGGAGCGAAGTACAGGCTTATGTCTCCGGCAAAGCTCCCGATCTCCAGGTCAACTTGTATTACTATACCTCCTGGACTCAGCCCGACGTCGTTTCTCGAATCGCCAGTTCTTCTCTCGAACATCAAGGTCACTGCGGTCTTTTTACTAATCGAGATTAATTTTACACTTTCTGCTTTTTGTTTGCCGATTTATTGCGAAATTGTGCGAGTAGTAGCTTGGAAGATTCAGATTCGGATCCAGTACCCAGTTTGTGTATCAAGCACTGCTGCGTTAACTGTTGTAATAAAGACAACGGAATTTCCGACTTTCTCTGTTACAACCGTGCTTGGTAGAACCCAACCTTGAATGTAACCAGCTTGTAACGCATATATAAGAGGAGAGTAGCCTTGTAGTTATAAAGTAAATATAATTAACCCCTCACTTTAGGATTGACGTCCACCGTAGCTAGGTGAGTTTACAAAAAACCAAGCTTCTATTGGAAGTTGCCTTCTTCAGGTAGCTTCATCTGTAGCGAGTTATAGGAGTGTCTGCTTGATGACAATTGTTATGACTAATTGTTATTGACTTCATTGATACAACTCACTCTTAATACTGACTTGTAATGAGGGTGTCCAGCTAGTTATAACCTCACAAGCTGTTAACTTGACCATGTGGGATGCAATTAGAGTTGTTACATTTTTTTAAATTGAATCTTTAATTATTGATAGGTGAACTATTCTGGAACAAAATATTTAGTGTATTGTCCACTTGTTCTTAATTCAGTGAAATGCAGATTTTTAATATTTGTAATTTGCGGTGCCAATGTGGAGCCAGTACTCGAAACTAGTGGGGGAAGAATTTAACGGCGGAAAGAATTTTCAAACACAAAATACAGCAATATTAAATTAAAAAATAAAAATTATTTCAGATTTCAGTCCTCTGCCACTGGTTTAACCGGTCATTTTAATGACTTTAGAGTACTTGTAGTGGGGAATTTCAATGATTTATTGACTTAATAAGTGGTGGTTTCCTAATGATTTGATGTTTGGTTCTTTTACAGCATAATGCTGTTAGTTGGCTGTTTCTTTTTCATCCAATTGCTCATTTGGAGAATATTGGTATTTGGGACCATTTGATTCTGATGCTTCCATTGTGATGTATTATATTGTTTTCTTTATGGAATTAACTTCAGCACCTTTAAACCTTTTTCTGTAATTTACAATTTAGAAAAGATTAATAAGTTCCACTCATGTTTCTTCACATAATGAACCTTCCTTTCTTTGTTGGTGCTTGTCATTTTTCCTTTGTGCTGTTCCCTGGTGAAAAAGACCTTGCTCTCGAATAATTGAGCTCTATGAATGCAACACCAGAAGAATTTATGCTGTCCTGGTTGTCTGGATCATGCCTGACATCTGTCACAATAGAGCAAGTCATTAGAAGTTTTGTCGTCATTGGAACTTGAAAATTGATGACCTTTGAGGCTTTATGGTATAAAAATTGATTGTCTTGATTATAAATACATCTTCTTTATACACAGATGGTAAAAATTCTCTTTCAGACATTAAAGGAAAAAAAGACGACTTTAGAAAGACATCCTATTTGAATTGTAGTAGAAAGTTAATTCCAATTTTTGTTTTTTCCTTGCTTTTTACTTGTGGCTGGGAGAAATATTTCCCTAAGTCATTAATTTTCTTTCTAACTCCTTGTCATTTTACAGGCAGAACCTTCTCCCACCACAGGTTCCTTTTTCAAGCCTCATTTGATGCAAGGATATGGTGAAACTTCGGCACTGCCATTGGGAAAAAAGTGTCCTGGTGGCAATATCAGTGATGAAAGAATGCCCAGCAGTTTCGAGTTTAATTTTCATGCTGGATCTAGTTGTGCATCAGGATTATCGTCGAACGGCCTAATGGTAATACCCTTGAACTTGCTATTTGGTTTATAGAACGTCCTTGTCATTAAAATAATTTTCATTTTCCAAAAAATCTTCTTGAGGGCAAAACAATATTGAAAAGCAAATTAGATTTGAATGAAATAGTGAAATGCTACAAGGGATTATGGTACTGAATGTTTGGCTAGTACAGGACAATATATATATAAGATAAATGTAGCACAAACGAGGATGTTAAGATGGCTGTATTGTCATGCTAGAATGGATAAGATAAGAAGTGATTATACACCCCCAACAACTGGAATTAGCACCAACTGAAAATTAATTGAGTGATGAGTTATCTCAGTGTGGACCTAAAGAAGATCTCATGCACAAGACGAGCGATATGATCCCACTAGAACAAGTTAGTAGAGGGCCGGATAAAACTTCATTTTTTATGTTATTGGCTTTTCAAGATGAATTCAAATTCAACTTTTACCTTTTTGGATAGGGTTTCAGGAAATTCAACTCAGAGCCTTCTAACTGCGCACTATTTGCTTCATCTCGTTATGGTTAATTCTCGACGATCATAGAAAAAATGCAAATTTTGAACCATGTTTTTACGAATATTTGGACTGACTATGGGTATTAATATCCCAATTTATTCTATTGTCTCAAAGATTCCAGCAAGTTTGAACGTGCCAGAGAATGGACCCTGCAGTCAAGTTAAAGATCATTGCTTTTCACAGCCTCCAGCACCTTCATCTGTGGCTACATGTGAGCTGCCAAGTTCAAAAGTATTTGGACCGTCTGTACTTACGAGCACACATGGTTATTCGTCTTGTGGTACTGTTGATGAATTAAACCAGGGAGGTTACTCCAACACAGACATCCAATTTTGGCCTTCTGATCATAAAGATGGTGTCCCGGTAACAGCTGACAGAACATCAGATGACGGGTACAGCTGGAGAAAATACGGGCAGAAACTTGTTAAAGGAAGTGAATTTCCTCGAAGCTATTACAAATGTACATATCCAGGCTGTGAGGTGAAAAAGATTTTCGAACGTTCTCCAAGTGGACAGACAACAGAAATTGTCTACAAGGGTTCACATGATCATCAGAAACCTCAACCTACCCGTAGACAAAATCCTGGTGCCTTTATGTCCATTCAAGAGGATAAAGTGGACAAGGATGTAACAGGGATTGGTCAAGAAGGTAACTAAACTAGCTCTCATAATAATTTTCCTTCGTTGTTAAAGTACAAATTTTCGTAGTCTTGTCTTGCTTGCTTGCTTGCTTGCTTTATTCATGTTGGCGTGCAAAATGTTTTCTCATTATTATTATTATTAATTTATTTTTATTTTACTATTTTTTTTTTTTTTAAAAACTTTGTTGTAGACAAGTTGAGCACCTATAGTCTGACTGGTAACATGGACCCAAAGATCTCGCCAGTGCTGTCTCCTCAGCAAGTAAATGAGGATGGTCTAAAAGGTGCAGATTCACAATTTCACGGCACTAATGACGACATTGATGAAGATGATCCCTTTTCAAAGCGGAGGTAATACAGTTTTACAAATGCTTTAGATCTACTATCCTTATCCTAACAATAGGTTCGATTGCTTAAAATCTGAGCAGGAAGACAGAGGATAGTCTTGATATTACAACAGTTGTTAAGCCCATTCGTGAACCACGAGTTGTTGTTCAAACTGTGAGTGAGGTTGACATACTGGATGATGGGTATAGATGGCGGAAGTATGGGCAGAAAGTAGTCCGAGGCAATCCAAATCCCAGGTGTGTGATAATTTATGTTTAATCACATGTTAGAAGATTGAATATCGAGTTAAAACACCATTTGTACACTGTATTATTTCGAATATTACCCCCTACAATTTTGAGATAAAATGCTGATGCTTGATTAGGCAAGTAGGTAGTTTAAGTCTTCTGTTTTCGTCTGTTTAGAGTTTTAATTGCTGACCTAGTTGACAGCTCCAAGTTTCAACGAAATTTACTTATTTACCATTGGTATCAACCGTACCATGTATTTGAGTGAATTTTCGAAGATACCCTCATCTTTCCTAAAATTAACAAATCAATATCATGGAAATAGTTGTAGAAAAGGGGAAAGATAGAAATAAGGTTTAAAATAAAATTGGCCCTCAGATGTAATGGGTCTCTCCATTAGATCTTTATTCTTACAGTGTGCTTTCCAGGAAAAAAGGTGCTTCAAAAACCCTGGGCAATAGAGAAAACACAGTAAAAAAGGACTAGGGAATTAATAAAACAAATTAAAATTAAGTTGCTGTGTATTAGAGTAAGAAAATGGTACTCCCAAAACTATATAAAAAATAAACAAGTACTACAAAATAAAAAGAAAATAAGAACTATGTCTTATTTATTTTTCTTTCATTCATTTGTTTATTTTCCTCATGTTTGTATCAATAGCCGGTGTATCACATTAAACTTGTACTCCCTTCACGCACAATTGAATGCTCCTGACTTGGTCCAGAATTTTAAGTAAATTTTGAAAATGTGGGTAATTTATGTAGTTTTCTCAATTTTGTCCTAAAAATAATAGTTAATAATCGTTGTCAGTCACATCATTTACCTCACCTAGGGGTGATTTTGGAAAAGAAAAAGCCATTTTAAGAAATTAACTTCATTTGTGGACATTTGATACGGATAATAGGATGGTTTGATCTTAGTGAGAGTAAATTAATATAAAGACTCCAACAACAAAAAGAGAGAAATCGTCAACAAAGAACCAGTTCTTTGGCTAAAAATACATAGAAGATTTGAGAGAGAGAGAAAAATCCAAGCTACCAGGTCTTGGAATCTCTCAGACTAGGTGATCAGAGTTAATAGTTATTACAATGCGGAAATAACTGAAATCAGTTCTAACAATCCGTTAATTATGTGAGTTAAACTTTCAAACTTTCTGAGCTGAAGATCTAGAAGTCTGGAGTCTTCTGGTGCTGAGATGGAATGGCTTGACTCATTCCTTAATGTGCCCCTTCAAATGGATGGGGAAGTTTACCACCCTGGGTTTGCCTTTCATCTTGAGAAAACAACCAACTAATAGGCTTTCAGTTAATACATGCAGCAGTTTGATCATAAGTTGGCACATATCTGAATTCTATCTGTTAATTGAGAAACGTATAATAGGTGAAATGCATCTCTAAGTTTCTCCTAAGTTGTCACAACTGATTATAGGACAGTACGGCGACCTAATTCCAAGTTTTGTCAGTAAAGGCTTCAGGCATACTATTTCTGCGTCAACGTGAGCTAGGACGGTGCAAGATTCTGTGCTTGATGGTGCCACAACGTTTTGTTAGAGCACCATGACACCAAACAATTGCCTAGAAATGCATAGGAAATTCTTGTTGATCTCCGATTATCTGGACAGCTCGCCCATTCTCCATCTGCAAATCCATTTAGGCTTAAATTCTCTTTGCTTAAAGGAGATTCTATGTGTCGTGTTACTCATTAGTTATCTTTGCACTACTAGAATTGACTGAACTTGCTTACTGCATATGAAATATCTGGTCTAGACATTAATTGGTACTTCAGGGATCCTTATTGTAGTAATTCAATAGAGCTTTGGATTTTAAATTGCCTCCATGTTGAACAGATCTAGTTCCCCTCCATCTTAGTCCTTTTTTAGCAAATCTGCGATGTATTTGAACTGAGACAAGCATAATCTGGATTTTCATTCAAGGGAAGCAGTATAATGATCCGAGTTCTTTTCATTCTTACTCCAAATTGTCTAATGGGGTTATTAGGATTTCAGATCCTTGAGCTTTTGCTATGCACATATCATCGTTGAGACACCATCAACATGGCAATATCCCACACTCCATTCACTGCTGCAACTTTCACAACAGTTGCTTTTTTTCCCTAAATGAAATTTTAAGAATAAAGTTGAGCTTATAGGAATTAATACAACCATTCGGATGCCTTTTTATATTGTATCAACCTGTTGCTGATAACCATGCAAAGCCTTCTTAGTTAATTCGCATGTTAACCTGAAGTCTCAATAGGAACAGCTTTGCTTAAATTTATTCTCTTCAACAGTACATGTACATGCAATCAAACCTGCAATCCATGTTGTAGCACTGAAATGCAATATTGCCTTCTTATTTAATTCGCATGTTAACCTGAGTCTCAATAGGAACAGCTTTGCTTAAATTTATTCTCTTCAACAGTACATGTACATGCAATCAAACCTGCAATCCATGTTGTAGCACTGAAATGCAATATTTCTTATACTTCAACTTACCGTGCAGGAGTTATTACAAGTGCACAAGTGCTGGTTGCCCAGTAAGGAAACACGTCGAAAGGGCATCCCATGACCCAAAAGCTGTTATAACTACATACGAGGGTAAACACAATCATGACGTTCCGACTGCCAAGACCAGCAGCTATGAATTTTCAGGACACTCACAGGTGAGTGGAACCTCTAGACCCAGGCCAGATAACAGTTCGATTGGCCTCAATCTCGGGGCTGGAATTAACCGCGAGAATAGAACTAATGTACAAATTCCAGCATGCTATGGTATTGGAAATGGTGGTGGCTTGAATCTGTTTGGAAATAGAGAAAATGGTGTTGAAGCTCATAACTTTCAGACTCAGCCTATACGCCCTTCTAACCTTTGTCCTCAAAATATTGGAAGAGTAGTTATGGGCCCGTAAAATTGTAAACTGAGTTTTTAGAAAATATATATTATATAGAATTAAACTTTTTTTTTTTCAGTTGTTTTGTCATTGAATTACTAATGTTTCAATATCTTGCATACGACTTTATGTGCATTTCAGACGATAGCCAATGATGACAATTTACACGATCAAAATTGAAATAATGGCCCTTACCATTCAGATATAGAGATGTAGAACAGTAGATTCCGTGTTCAGATACAACAATTGACAGTAAATATGATGTTTGGTTTCTTTAAATCTATCATAGAATTATAGGAATAAGCATTGAGAGCCTGTTTTATTTCTTGTGAAAGAGGTTCCCAAAGAAGCCACCTAGTTTGAAAACTATTTCTTAAAATAGTTTTACGTGTCAATATTTTTTTAGAGAAAACTATCTTCTTTTTAACTAGAAGAAGCACTTTTGTAGAATTAACAAAATGGATGCTTTAGGTCTCAAAAGCTCTTTTCGAATTCTCAAAAACTATGTCAAACGTGCTTGGATGGCGTTAATCTTCGATGTTTCCACTTAAATGGTTAATACAAAACATACCACAACCAGGGCATCGGAAGTAGTACCTCAAAACAAGTCCTGAACCTCCACAGACCTTACATTTCCTCAGTGCCGCCTGCCATGGTTTTTCATATTACAAACGATACATTCAATTCAAAATATTCACTTCTAAATATATTTAAAAATAAAAGTAAAGATAAATACATGATAGTATATAACTTCAAATAATTTAGGGGTGTTCTCGAACTAGAGTTTAATGGATTTTAAAACTTTGTGTAAACTGTAAATTAAGGTGTCCTCAACTCGGATCAAAATATAATTCACAAAAATTTAGGCTCCTCAATTTAGATTTTTAGAAGGATAAATCTACTTTTACGGTTACAAAAATGGTTGGAGCACCTGCAGACTTCTTTGTAAGGGTAGCACAATCCTTTTTAGAAATACTTAAAAATTTAGGTGTTCTCAATTTAAATTTCAATAGTTTTTTGAGAAATTTAGGTATCTACTTGATTTAGAAGGATTTCAATAATTGATGGATTTGAATAGATTTTAAAAGATTTGAAGCCATAAAGGTATAAATACCCAAACCCTATAACAATTATCAAAATTTCACTCTCTCTCTCTCTCTGTGGCCTTTCTTTGCCGTTAATGTTTATCTGCTGAACATGTTTCTCTCTCTGTGGCCTTTGTTTGCCGTTAATGTTTATCTGTATATGTATGCTACTTTATCAATTGATGATGATTTTTTTTGAAGTTTTTGTTGAATAACCACCCAAAATCTTGAAACCGAGATGCACAATTTCCAACTTCAAATCGAGATATAGCAGACGAAATTACAGAGAAAACTGAAACTAAAACTCGAATCATGTTCCTCAGTTGGAATTTCAGCCAATTATGCACACTCAGCTTCTGGATACAGTAAATTTTCCATTAAGCCCACTTGCAAGGCTGACTGCTCAAGCTCACTGCTCAAATCTTCCAAAAAGTCGCCTTTTTATTTTTTCCCAGTCGGGTTGATTGACGATCAAGACTTGGGCTTTTTTGCCAACTTTCTTGGCATATTTACGTAATGGCTGACCCAAAATATGAAGGCAACTGAAGAGTTTCTTTGGTATCAACCTATAGTACGAGTGTTTTATGTTTACGCAGTTTGGAATGAATATCAAGAGCCTCTCTTAGACAAATTTATCCTTGCTGCTAATTCATTGATAAACTTGGAATAATTTCCCTTCTATTTGCCAATTATTAATATCTTTGTTGAAAATTCCATCTGATTCTGAGCATGATTTTGCTGTGGGGACGAAATGGGTAACGTTCCCCAGTTGGATGTCATGTCATGGAGAAAGTAGCGGAAACATTGATGCCAGACGAAGTTTTTGTGAACAGAAATTAGGATAATTATCTTTAGGCTGTCTGTGTAGGTAATACAAAAAGTAGATTTGACTGTTTTTATGTATATGTTTTCGTTAATAATGTTTATTGAGTATGAATGTTTGAAAAATCGAATTTTTGCAACCGGCCTGTTTTATCTCTAAGGCTCGGGCGACCGTTCCGATCACCGTCCTACTCCGACGATCGTTTCGGCGACTATTCCGGCTATCGTTTCGGCGACGATTTTTTTTCGGCAATTGCTCCGATTCCGACAGTGGTTCCAACTCCGGCGAATATTCCGACGACAACTCCACTATATTTTTTTGTACGGTTGACATTTTTTTTTTACGGTCACAACCCAGGTCACAAATCACAAGTCACAGCTCAGATCACAAGTCAAGTGTCACATGCCAGGTCACTACAAGTCACAACGCAGTCCACCCACACGCACCGGCCAACC